AAAACCCCCCCCCCCCCCTGCACCCACACACACACACAGATGATAATCAAAGACCGTGAAGGGCATGTACAATGTAGATAGGCATTAGTGCATGTATTGACACCCCCCTCGGTTTTATGGACTCCGATCTCCCTCTCAACAACATACTTAATGTTTGTTCAACTCGGCACGTCACGTGACTGTCTTTGATGGTGCATCAGACTAAACAAGGCATGACCACCCTTCACCAGGCCCCAGCACGATAGACTGTATCCTGCTAGACCGCAGCTTACCTGATAATACATCATAACGGACCACAGATCGCTGGAGTATAATGTCACAACCGACCATAATGTTTTATTAGACTATATACGCCAACAGACCGTAGCACGCTAAACGGTATCTTGCTAGACCGCAACTTACTTGGTAATACATCATAACAGACCACAAATCGCTGCGTTATATACCACAACAGACCACATCTCGGCGGGGTATAATACCACAACTGACCGTAGCACGATAGACTGTATCCTGCTTGACCGAAACTTACTTGATAAAACAGCACAACAGACCATAGCACGGTAGACAGGACAAGTTCAATAAAGAGAAGCTCTTTGATATGACCAAGGCCGTTTGGGGTTGGGAAAGAGCAAGGCGGACATAAACAGGGCTGCAAAAACACAAGAGAGTGTCAGAGAACATCCTGCCAGACCAGACAATGTCAGACGAGACAATGTCAGACCGCATAATGCCAGAACAGACGATGTCAGACCACAAAATACCAGAACAGACAATGTCAGACCAGTCAATGTCAGACCACGTAATGCCAGAACAGACAATGTCAGACCAGTCAATGTCAGACCACATAATACCAGAACAGACGATGTCAGACCAGTCCAAGCTAGACCAGGCTAGACCATACCAGACCATATCACAGCTCAGCATGACATGCCAGATCAGATTAAGTCAGACCAGACAATGCCAGACCAGACAATGCCAGACCAGACAATGCCAGACCAGGCAATGCCACACCAGACAATGTCAGACCAGACAATGTCAGACCAGGTAATGGCAGACCAGACAATGTCAGACCAGACAATGTCAGACCAGACAATGTCAGACCAGACAATGCCAGACCAGGTAATGGCAGACCAGACAATGTCAGACCAGACTATACCAGATCAGACAATGTCAGACCAGACTATACCAGATCAGACTGCCGCACCAGACTATGCCAGACCAGACAATGCCAGACCAGGCAATGTCACACCAGACCATGCCACACCAGATCAAGTAAGACTAGTCCATACCAGACCAGACCATATCCCAGCTGAGCATGCCATATCAGACGGGACAAGACCAGACCATGCCAGACTATATCACAGCACACCACGGCAGATCACACCGACCCAGACCAGAAAACAGCAAAACACCTCGTGCCACATTACAGCACAGCACAGCAGACAATAACACACCACGCCTCACAACAGGACAGGCTGCAAAGCAGCACAGCACAGCATTGCACAGCACTGCACAGCACAGCACAGCACAGCACAGCACAGTACAGCACAGCACAGCACAGCACGCCAGATGGCACACGTTTCCCAACCCCCCCCCCCTCGAGAGGCTCCTACATTGACAACACAGGTTCAGTGACAGTTGACGAGAGTGCCACCAGGTGTGTGATCGATGAGTGGGTTTTTTGTGTTGTTTTTTTGTTTTAGTAAGAGTTTTACGGCACTTGCAAAACAATAAGGTCATATAAGTGCCGAAGAAAAGATGAGTTACAAAAGAATAACATACACAGAAAAAGAGGAGAGATAAGGACGATAGATGTTTGATAGGAAAGAAGGAGCAAACCACACCAGAGCACCCGCCAACCACCCACTCAATGATTAGATAGAACTTTGTTCTTCAAGGGTAGCAACTTACCCCTACGTCTGTTTAATTGACAAATCAGAAACAGAACATTGTTGAGAATTATTGTAAAACAGAATTCCTTGTCGACAAGCAAAGACCTATAATGAGCCACTGGGTTTGTCAGTGGTGACTCATCATAGATCCCTAGGCTCGCCATTAGCATTTGGAAGACGTCTAAGTTTGCCAATGACTTTTGCTTGATAGAATTCTGAAACATGAGCAGGAAAGACGATCCAACAAATAAAATTCACAAAAAAGAAAAAAAAGGAAGAAAAATGAGCAGAAACAAGAGGCTCGTGGCTCGTGGAATAACTGGGACCATTAATCAACCGTCAGACATGCCTTCTACGTCATCAGAGGGAGGGGAACACAAACAAACCACGACAGCTAAATAACACAGTCAACGACTCAGTGAGGGCGGGTGTGACTTGAGAAAACA